ATGATTTAATACATTTTGAATATTTTAAGCAGAATTTTAATAAGTTTAAAGATTTTTAGAGACAATTGATGCGTTAACTGTACTAATAATATTTAATATTCCAAATGAACATATTTGAACTTTATACTTATTATTTGCATTTTAATTGTTTAAATTATAATTTCTAAGACATTTTTAAATGTCTTTATAATGAATTTAATTATTATTTATTAATAATAATTATGAGGCGTCACAATATCTTTTTATTTTTGAATAGGGACATAGTAAAATTAATTATCAAAATGACTCTTAAGTCATATTTACCTTTATTTAAAAAAAAATATTGTACTGGGCCTACAGAATACGTATGGCGTACAGAGTTTCGTATGGCGAGTGTCAAGTACCGGAAAATTTGTTTTACTGGAAACGAACCTTAGTCTTCAGTAATGCAAAAATGTATCTTCATTTTGATTCTTAATTGAGGATAAATATAGATGTTTATGGACCACAACATCCACTTACCATCAGGTGAACTGTGTTTTTTTTTATTTTTTTATAGAAGAGGAGGCAAACAAGTATGTGGCTCACCTGATGGTAAGTGACTACCGCCGCCCATTTACAACCGCAAAGCCAGGGGAATAGCAGATGCGTTGCCGGCCTTTTACAAAGGTGTAAGCTCTTTTCTTGAAGGTCCCTAAGTGCTCGTTTGTCACCCTTATTCTGTAAAAAAAACTGTTCCCGGTCCTGGAATGCGATGCGATTCTCTTATGCAGTTACCGTATTACTTGCCTTAGTATCAGTGGCTTGGCTTGTTGATAATATTAAGTAGATGAAAGCTCTCAACCATACTCTATAAAAGTCCTCTCCCAGAAGGCTATGTTAAACAGTGGTGGCAATAAATGGATTAAGTAATGAAGATTGCAGCTTAGTAGCTCCAGTAGCATAGTAACTCAGCGTTTTATTTGTAGTGCTACGGTTCGTGAGTATGAATTAATAAAGTTACATCCTATATACTTCCCACTGCTGGGCACAGACGTCCTCTCATTTCTGAGAGTGTTTTAGGGCAAGGAAATTTCCACCACGCTGCTTCAGTGCGTGTTGGCGAACTTCACCTATCTTCGAAATATTTAATATAAAATATAAATAAATTTCGAAAAAAATTAAATGAATGAAAAGAAATATTTGCCTCGGGTCTACGGGAGCATACGAGATAAATTTCTAAAGTGTGGTTTTTGTGGAGGATCGTAGAGGAAAACATCGTTTTTTAAATCTGCATATCTGAGGATTAAAATGTTTCCACGCCTTTTATATGATTTAAATACAAGTTCGTGTGGAGTACTCTGAATTTAATTAATTTTATGGATTTTATCGCATTCAATTTAAAGTTTCGTTTACTTTACAGCACCCGTGGTCAGGGGGAGGAAAGCCCAGAAGCCCTTTGTTCTTTTGTAATGCTTTATGGTGATATCAATTTAAAAAAAATCGGCAAAGTGCGAGTCGGACTCGCGCACCGAGGGTTCCGAACAAATCCCAAGGGATATAAGTTTAAAACTATTAAAAATATTTTTATTATATGATGTGACTAAAAATTTATACATTTCGCAATTTTCCCTTTATCTGTGCTATAATACATTGCTTCGTACCAAAATTTAAGATTCTGAGTTCACGGGAAGTACCCTGTAGGTTTTGATTCCCTTGCGAATGTCGAAAATTTACAACATAAACGGCTGTATCTTGTGATTGCGTTGGCTTAAAAGTTTGAGTTTTTCACAGCTCCAAGGGACAGAAGACTAGAGTATTTGATATAAATTTATGCTTGATACCTCCACGCGTTCCTGAGAAAAAGGTACTTCACAGACAGACAGACAGACGGACAACAAAGTGATCCTATAAAGGTTCCGTTTTTCCCTTTTGAGGTACGGAACCCTAAAAACGCAACCTATGAAAGGTCTTATGGCTTCTGATAGATAACGGTATAACCATCCCCTTTACCTCAGATGTAAAATATCCGGAACGGCAACTGGGCAGCATCAAAGAAGCGATACATCTGATAGTGTGATGGAGAATTTGTCTGCCGGAGGAGGATTTATTGTACATTATAACACTCATTATTATGTTTTTTATCGCCTTGTAATTATAATAATTACCTTTTGTGATTGTCATAATGGCAGTCTTACAATGGTACATTAGTTAATACAACTCATTTTTATAGCTAATGAAGCTCTGACTGTTAATGACTAAATGCATTAATTATTTAGCCGCTTTCTACAACATTGTGCCGTGGTCACATTACGCTAGCAACCCGAGTACGAGAACACGCTGTCATTCTTAGACGTGGTATTATCGTTCAAAAATTCTCTTTTTTATAAGATAGGGTGATAAACGAACACACAGTCCACCTAATGTTAAGTGGTTGCTGCGACCTATAGACATCCACATGTATCATCAATGAAGAATCAAAATGTAGATGCGTTGTTACCCGTGAGAAGTAAGATGGAATGCCTCTTTTCCAATTAAACAGGTCTCCGGTTCTCTACACTCACCATACGAAACACAGCAGCTGCTATTTTACGCTGGTATTCTGTGAGAGCGTGGTCCTTCCCCGGTCGAGTCGACCCATTCGTGCTACAACTATACTACTAATATAGCTGCAGCACGGCTCTATCACGTAGTAAAACTACACTCTGTTACCTCAGTTACTCTCAAAAAATTTCACTGGTTACAAAAATAATTTAAGATTTTAAAAGTTTCCCTTTTATTTTTACCCTTTGTAATAAACTTCATAATGAGGATATCCTCAGTAGAATCAAAGTAACCAACAAAGACCTACGGATCTGTAAGCTGAAAAAGCAATTGGCTGACCATATAGCTAAAAGGACCGATAATCGATAGGGAATAATTGTTCACGAGTGGCAGCCACATTTCCGCAAACTAAGCGTAGGACGGCTTCTTACTCGATGGAGTGGTGACCTGGTAAGATATTTGGGAAGCCAAAAGATGCAAAAGACTTAGTAGCGCGTTTTTTGGAGTTCCTTGTGGGAGGTCTATGTTCAGCAGTGGATTTGCCAAAGGCTGTGATGACAATAATGATAATGAAATATTTTTGGAACGAAGTTCTTTATTTAGGATTTAGCGGACGGAGGATAGGCGACAAAAAGTATAAGATTTTTCCGTCACTACTATAAGGGAGCGAGATCGAATAATATCCTTCTACCTCACAATTTTCTTATCTTACCATGAAAGAAATGTTATTTTATTTAAATGATGCTTCATTTTAATAGACGCTAGTAATTCATACATTTGTATTTCTTAATCAATAATATAATACGTTTATCAATGATAATATACTACGAAAGGAACTTCGTTCCGACCGAGTATCCCACGACACTAATGCATGTTTTTTAATTTAATTTTGAAATAATTGAATATAAATAAAATTATATAATTACACTTACTATTTAGCATGAAGACGAGTCAAGAAGAAGAAGTTAGTAGTTTGCAAAAACAAATTAATCATAGGTACATAATTAAAAGCTAATAAAACTTGTTTATTTAATATTGTCTTCTTGTGTCAACCCTAGTGAAATAGGTAAAAATTTTGAAAGCTCCTTAGAAGCTTTGCTCTCGTCGGTTTCTTTACTCATGTGCACTTACCCTATAATATTATGAACAATAGTTTCGTAATGTGTTTCTATCGAAAATTAAATAAAACTCGTAAAATAATTGTAATAATTTCATCTTTATTAGTTTTCTTTCATCTTAGAATACTGATCATCTTGCTGGTCGGTTATTCTTTTTACCATCTTGCCAATTGGCGCTTCGACGGTCAAATAAAACGGTAAAACTTAAAGGAATGACATCGTTGCAATACCAGAATAATTCAGCAACTGTAACGAAATGGATTTCTTATTAGATTGCGCTGTCATCATAGGTACCTTGTGTAATTAGGACTTATGAGTAGTTAAACTTCCCTCATTTTGAAGTACGAGCTACGTATAACTATTTATTTAATATAATATTATTCTAACATTACCTATTTGCCTTTGCATAAATTCACAAATGTTGTACATGCTCTTGTAAAGCATTCTTATGATGATAGTACATATAAAACTACATGATTATTTAAGAGCCGTGGTAGCTCAGATGGTTAGCGCTCGCTGTAAGCTTCACAGTACTCGAGCAACCCGAGTTCTATAACCGCCGGCACCAATGAAATTGTTAATTGCAATTTTAAGTGCCGAATTTATCGCGTCCTCGGCGGTGAGAGAAAACATCGTGAGGAAACCTGCATACCTGAGAAATAAGAAAAAAAATATTTCGAAGACATGTGAAGTGCGCCAACACGCATTCGGGCAGCGTGGCGGACATTTAATTGCCCTAAAACCCTCTCAGAAATGAGAGAAAGCCTGTGCCCAGCAGTGGGACGTAAATAGGCTGCAACTTTTACTTTACTTTATTTAAGAAGTAAAAATGCGTGGACAAAATGAATAAGAATTCTTAAACTTGCGAGGAGAAAGTAGTCTACTTTGTGAGTTTCTCGCCATTTCTCACAAGGTCTCACGCAATACAGATTTATTGAAGTGATAGTTTAGCTTTCAATTGGACAATTTGGAACAAAAATATTAAGAATAGACTTGACTTGGTGATTCGAATTTCAATGTAATAAATAATATACTCTAGTAGTTTAATAGTGACACTTTCAGTCTCGCTGCATGACTAGTCGATGTAGTCACATATTGACTCTTAAGTAAATAGGTACAGGGTTGTGGTTGGATGTTAACAACAACATGATGTAAGCATTATTTTGCAAGTTCATGCTTTCTGAACTAATTTGTAGTTATATTTTCTTCACATAAATGACCAGTGATAGATCGAAGGTAAATTACTCTGGTTAAGTTTAGCAGGAGAACTGTATTTAACAATAGTAAATAGTAAGTACATTGATTGAAACTTTACTTTATCATTTCTGCTTTGCGGCTGATCAAAATCATATAGTTATGGCAATATTGTTAGAAATTCAACTACAATTTAAAGTTCCTTACCGCAAAAAAGGGTGATGAATGTCCTAATTGCGTTTTGGTTCCAAGAATTACAGAAACGATGTTCATGTGGACTAATAAAACAGCATACGAAAGTCTGCTAGGAATCACCCAGCCACGCCACTCTAATATGCTGCACAGAGTACCTAAAACAAGTAATTTTAATTTTATTATATAATCAGCTGCTCTTATTAACATGTGCCTATGTAGATAGGATATTTTTGAGTATGTGACCTGTCCCTGTTTGAAATTAAATTTTAGTTCGTAAATTAAATCCATTAAATATAAAACATGAGATTTATTTAAAAGTTAATAAGCGAGCTAATGTAAAAACTATGTGTGGTTTCCCATAGTGCAGGTATTGCGGGCAATTGACGACCACCGACAACTACCTACCGTACCGGGGCTCTATTAACAGTGTTTGTCGGCGTGTGCGAATTGCAATTCGAAGCTGCTTTGTCATTCCAACCAGCTCTTGTTATATTTTGTTTATTCATAATCATAATATTATAAGCATAAATAAAACAAAGTGATGAAAAGGAAACCATTCTGGTGGATGTCGGTAATCAACAAGTCGGTCAAGGTATGGAACTATAAAATTAAATAAAAAATTCCATCTCTCCTCCATCCATCACAGCCCATAATAGTTCACAGCTGAACATAGGCCTCCCCCATTTATATTACCTTGTGGGGGGGTCTTGCCATAGTTGCCACGCTTTGCAGGCGGGTTGGTAACCGCATTTTTTTGTTATTTTACGTTGTTATTAGGAAGATGCTGCTGCCCATCTCCTGTTTCAGTTTCCCTCTGTCGCCTACCGTCGAAAAAAATTGGTCATCCAGAACAAGCAGACAAATATATTTTTTATTTGCTGGGAATTAATTAAATAATAAACCAGCGGTCTGGTGGTTTGTAACTTGCCTAATTTTTTTTTAAATTTATTTATATTTTTGCAAAATTGATATACAAAATGGGGTCCCACATATATGCAATAAATTAAACCACAAGTAATACTAGTCCATAGAAGTGTAGAAAAATTAAATATTAAATTAAAACCCGTAAAATAAAAAAGTGAAATATTCAAACAAAACAAATATTAAAATAAATTCAGTTAAAGTAAACACTCTGTTTAGACAACGTACCTTGACCCCTTGGAAGAGTGACAACGTTGCACGCGGGTGGCATGGCGGTTGGCGGCAGGCAGCGTTATTGCTTGTCGGCACGGCCTATGGTTCGTTGGACAATGTGCGACGAAATAAAAACTTACTCACTAAACTGTTTAGGTATTTTACCGCCACTTTTTTATTTCGCGAAAATGGAACTGAACGAAATAAATATTATTGCATATTAGTAGCAAAATTTAATGAAACCCTAAATTTGAACATTTTCGAAATCGTTCTTGAATGCACAAGTTACATCGCCGCATAATGTTGTCCTGAAGCTTGCTCAAAAAATTTCATTCAGGATCCAGAGTCAGGGCTTTTAATTTGTTATAGGCGGCAACAATACGATTGCGCAGTTCATCTTCGGTTTCGAAAATCTTTGAGTACACTTCATTTTTAATAAAGCCCCATAAAAAGAAGTCTAGAGAAGTGAGGTCAAAAAAGTAAAGTAGTGTCAATATCACAGTGAAAAAATAAACGTACTTAAAACCCTATTTACACACACAAAGTCAATTAACTAATAAGTGTCTATTTCACCGTAAAAGAATTGTTTCACTAATTGCATTTATCATATGATAATACGATAATTATCTTACGATAAATAATTACGATGCGCGTAGGCAGCGAAACGCACCTGTATTCTGGAACAATTGCGCGTGAACTGGAAGCTAAACTTCCAAATTCCAAAATGGCGAAAATAATAAAAGTAATAAATAGGGCGGCCACAAGGTGCAATAATCGTTTATCGATACTTTTCTTTTTACGCTTACTTACCTACTACATTTGAATACAAGTAATTTTGATTTTTGATTTGATAAAAATCGACAAGTTATTGATTGTTAAAAAAAAAAAATATTATTGTACAATTGAACTTACGAATCTACCGATTTGTGACTTCCTGGGAAATGGGTAAATATGTATAACTTTTTAATTGTTTGTTTTTATGGGTTTTTTATCGTGTTAAAATAATTTATTATCTCTAAATCTACAAGAACACACTTAAACAAAAAAAGCTTTAAAGTTTAGCTTTAAATACTTAGGTCGTAGTGTTTTTAGGATTATCATAACAACACGATAATTCTAAAAAACCATACCCTAAGTGTTTAAAGCTAAACATTTTTTTTTATTTTTCGATTATGACTTACTCCCTTTGAAAGAAGCTAATCGTCGATAACAGGTGTCCCACTCTACGAAAAAGGCGCGCGCGCAGTTGCGCCGTCGCCTTTGAAGTACGCCGCGTGCCTCGTGCCGCTTGTTTATGCACGCCGACAAAAGACACCGCTGTCGATACGTCGCAATACCAATAGTTTGCACTGCGTGGCAACGTCGCTTTTTAATTTTGAAGGATTCAAGTTCATTGAATAATTGACTTAGTGACCCAATTCTATAGAGGGTTCAAATTTGCTTAAAATTAAAACTCTAATTTATGACCTAATTACTGGGCCGATTATGTTCATTTTTTGTATATCGTCAGCAAAGGCGATAACAAGTATGTGGTTTAATTTATTGCATATATGTGGGACCCCATTCTGTATAAAAATTCTGCTTTTTGTAATCCTGTCCATCCAAAGGTTGTCTGGAAGAAATCGCCTTTAGCGATAAGACCGCCCATTGTATCACTATTTTTTTTTCATTTTCTTTCGTTGATGTATTGATTTGGTGTACAATAAAGAATTATCTATCTGTCTATCTATCTATAAAATGTAGTTGTAATTTTTTTTTTGATGTTTCATCATTAAAAACTGAAAATTCGAGTCTGAATAGGGGTTATTCTTGATATCCCTCATTCTGTTTGCTTGACCATCCTTAAATATTTATTTTAACGACAAATTTTCTGTATAAGATATAATACAAATTAAAATTATTTTTTATTCTTCTTTCAAATAAAATTTATCTGGTAAATTAGTATTTGACCAGAATCTCACCAGACCAAGAATTAGAAGGTCATTAGCAGTAACGTGTTAAGTGCGAGCTATTCATTTTATCTTATTTTTTAATTTTTTAATAATTATTTATGAATTACTAATAACTGAGTAGTAACAAAATATTCTTATGATTACAAATAATTAAAGGAACAGTATATTCTTAGAAAAAGTACATTATTTGTGAAAAATGGTTGAATGCAGATTTGAAATGCATTTTATAGTTCTTTATTTTTAGTTTTGAAATATATTAGTAAAATATTTTTATAAGCAACGATTATCCACTGACGCATTGCTACGGTAAAGTGTAGGACGGCCCCCACTAGATGAAGTTGCGACCAGGTAAGATATGCAGGAAATCGATGGATGCAGGTGGCTCAGGACCATTTTTGGAGTTCCTTGGTCTATGCTAAGCAGTGACCTTGCGAAAAGATGAAATGATAGCATTTCAAAAACAATTACTGTTAACAAACTTTAATTTTCAAACTCGTTATATTTTTTGTTAGTTAAATATAAATTTATCGATATAGTAATACACTCACCATTTAGTCTAAAGACAAGTCCAATAATTATACTCGTGGCAATTGATCCCGCCAAAACTCTCTGCGTGGCTGCATACAGCAATTTGAATGCAAGCGATACTTCATACCCATCAACATAAAACATCCTCCCCAACCAGAATACATAAATTATCACAGGCAACGCGCACCACATGAGCCACGTGAGTAACGAAAATATCTGCAAATATTTTAGTTATATTTCAATTCAAAAACAAAAAATAAGTTTATTTATGGGCATGTATGTCTACATGGTACAATGTGTAATACAAAAGTTCATTGATGCACGAAGGTTTATTTTTATAAAAGTAAACCTTCGTGCCCATAGACATATATATCCTCGTTAAAATTCAAAATACAGATACGTTGTTATACCTGAGGACTAAAGTAAAAAGGATCTCCGGTTTAACATAGAAGCAGCATAAATCTGCTGGAATTCTATGAGTACGTGGTCTTTTCCCGGTCAAACCGACCCATTCATTCTGCCGACATGTTATGCTGCATCGTTGGCTTAACACACACCAATTTTACATTATAAATTTACATTTAACATACACACATGAAATTCATGAAGACAAACATACGCATAATAGTTGTTATTAAACTATACAAATAATTTTGCCGGGTACCGTTACGGCTTAAGAAAATCCACAACCCAATGACGTTACGTGTCATAAAAGGCGACAGAGGAAAACAAACCAGGAGATGGGCAGCAGTGTCTTCCTAATAACAACTATAAAATAAAAAAAATTCCAATGAGGAGGTATAAATTATGTACGAGGATATCTCTAAAATTATAAATTCTTCCAAAACCTATACCATGAGTATGTAACAGGAAACCTTAACGCAAAATAATGCACAGAAAAAGACTATAAGCTGTGGATAATTAAATTTGGATGGGGCAACGGAACCCAAAGAATCAACAACTGACTGAATTCATTGAGAAGAAAGAATTACTTATGATGATTTCATTTTTCCAGAAGCGTCCTCACAGAAAGTAGACCTGGTCTATGGCCCTGCAGTTCAACGAAAAATTAGATTAAATTTATTTCGACGACCAGACGGTGACTGTTAAGTGAAGAGTCAGTGATTGCTAGGGTGAAAACTGGCAACGAGCACCGAATGGTGAGTGATATAAAAACTCTCCCATAATACTCTTAATCCCATGACTGTTAGAAAACAATTAAGCTGCAGTCTTGAACAGATACGACATAGTTCAAGCAAATGAACAGACAAATGCACTGAAATGACAGAATTTGGCGAGATTTAGATAGATTCAGTAGAGCTCGTATTGAGCGAAAATTAAGCAGAATCAATGTTCGAATGTTTTTGCTTCTTTGCTCACCCACTCTGGGAGCGGTACTCCTGAGACACCTGAAATTTTGAGTGAGAAAATAGGTTCTATAGACAACTGTACACATCGCCGTTGAAGCTACACGCAAATGTGAGTAACGAACCAAGAGTCCATGTTCTGCAAAAGAATGGGCTGATTTTATTAATATGTATGAAAACTAACCTTATTATTTCCAATGGGTTTTCCATTTTCTTGCGTATGATATACTAAGTAACCGGTTATCATCCCAACAACGTGCCCAGCTAAATTATTATGCCCGAGAATATGCATCATATAAAAAGTATCGTTCTGGTTTGCCCTGTATATTCTACAACAAAAAAAAACGGCATTCCTTAGTACAAAGATATTTTAACTGGCACGGCCCTAAGTTGTGTTGCACACTAAAATAGACATGGATCAAAGTCTTGCTGTAAAGTTCACAATAATCTAGAGTAAGGATGAGTATTGCGATTGCCAGAGCGCCTACACGTGGTGATTAAGGCAAATCCTACCCAATTAAAAACAACAGTTGTGAGCTTAACGGTAACAGGCTACAACTTGACAATTGCTCTTCCTAGTGCACAATTTCATCCTAACTATCCTGCGCAATAAGCCAAAAGTGCCCCTTGTCACGCTATCGGTGAATTTTTGCAACATCAGGGGATTTTATTCAAACCTTATCGCCATCCACTATCATCTGGAAACGGCGAAGCAGGCCTTGCTCTTTCTAACCGAGACGTAGATATCCTCTCCAGTTGATACTTTGTGTCTCTCCTACCGGGGTACACATGAGAACACTCCTTTGTGCGCCTAGCTGGAGTTTGCGTGAACGTCAGAGAGGACATCAGTTTTTGACAACTCGGCAGCCTTGAAGGTACGGACTTGTTCATCTTATGGCAGCGTGTAGACAGAGACGACTATGCTCACGTCTACGGATGCCTCTATATGTCCCATAGCGGCAATGCCGACACAGACTGAGTCATCGACCACGACCAAATGGCTGCAGGTTCCGTGCTACAACAGGTCACATCCGTAGAGATCATGATGCTTGGTGATTTTGACGCCCACCATACTGAATGGCTTGAATCCCGTTTAACCGATCATGCGCGTAGAGACCTGCTTACGACTTTCCTTTGGCATATGATCTGACACAACTGGTTACCTCACCTACGCGGATTCCAGATGTGAAAAGTCATGTGCCTTCCCTGTTGAACCATCTGCTGACCTCTCATCCAAACGCATATCAAGTCTCCGTCGATGCCCCTTGGTTTGGCTCCTCGGACCATTGTCTGATCCGGAGCAGGGTGCTACTCATGCTCCCATCGCGGTTGCGTTCTTTAGGTTGTCTCCGTGTTTGCTATTATAAGTTAGCCGATTGGGACGGGATGCGAACTTCTTTTGCAGCCTACCATTGTAGGCGGGTTTCCTTCTCGCCGGATGATCCCAGAGTTGTTTCTGATTCTATAGCTTATTGGTGCTACAGGGAATAGAATTATTTATTCCATCATCTGTGGTACCTATCAGAGGCAGAAACCAGCCATAGTTTAATCGCTCCTGCAAAATTGCATTACGCCATAAGCAAGAGTTCTTTGCCAGTTGCTCTTAAAGAGAAGTATAATTCCACCTCGACAGAATTGGCGAGAAACTAGTTCGTCTTCCTTCGTGAACACGTGCATTCTGGTCTCTCGCCAAGGCTGTCCAATGGAACTTCTGTCAGCCATCTCCCTCATCTCTGTACAGGGAAAACACCTGAGTCTCGGTTAAAAAGAGCAAGGCCGGCTTCGCCATCTCTAGATGGTAATGGACAGCGTTAAGGTTGGAATGAAGTCCCCTGATGTTGCAAAAATTCACGGATAGCGTGACAGGGGTCGCCTTGGTTGTATTGCTCCGCTTGCCCCGAGCAGCATTAGCCGCGAGCGGAATTTTGCCCCCCCCCCCCCCCCCCCAGAATACGCGGGGCAGCCTGAGCACCCACGCTCAGGAGTGAAGTAGTTTGGTCGTGGATGCTCAGCGAGGGATTCTTCAGGGGTGCTGGTACCCTCCTGGGGTAGTCTTTTATTTAATTCCACTACCATGTTGATGAGGGGGGGGGTAATTGGGCCTCCGGCCACCTGCACTCACCAAGCGCAACGCAGAGGCAAATCTCTACTTCACGCTGGTATTCTGTGAGGTCGTGGTACCACCCCGGTTCAAGCTGGCCCATCCATGCGACAGCAAAAGCTACCGCTTAGCTCTACCACTGCTAAAAGTTACCACTGTTAAAGGTTATGCAACAAGTTGGCAAAAACGTATACTAAGCAGTTGATTTTTTAAGTGCGTTTGCTATTTTGTCGATTGTGGGTCTAGTGTATTACAGCAATTAGTCGCTATGCGACAATTCACACAGCGATCCATTGAGTCACTATCTAATAGATTAAACCCAGGCCGTGAAATCCACAATAATGAGCCAAAGTCAAACGAGTAAACAAGATTATCGGTGTTCGGTATGTTAGCAAGCGTTGTACAAATAAAGTAAGATCAGAAGTCCGTAGAAAGAAAGCAGTGGTTAGCAATATAAACCATTAAAACAACGGGAAACACTTAAAACACACACGTACTAAACGATACAAGATGAGTGATCATAGATTGGGTAGAATCAGGCAGGAGCTGTCACTATTAGCACAGATTAAAAATACAGTTGACAAAAACAAGTAATAAATCGAACTGTAAACGTGAATCGATTTTAAGATTTATTTTTATTATGTTAATATTTTATTTTTTAAACTATTGACACTATGTTTATTTACTGTAAAGTATCTATTTACTTTGATTGAATCAATCATCTGATGTTAGTTGTTTTTATGTTTAATTGTTAAATCTTATTCACATTAATCGATTAAAGTAATCGATTTCCTATTTTATTCGTGACATAAACTTCTTTTCAATTTTCTCGTCTTCCAGATTGTGAATTGGGCAAATATTTTATTGTTTTGTAATAGAAAAATATAACGCTTTTTTTAAACTTTATGACGGCTCCGTGGCGCAGTAGCTTAGCAATGAGTTGTTGCGCCGGGGGCCGCGGGTTCGAATCCCGCACGGAATAAGTATTAGTATGGCCTACAAATAATTGTTCCGGGTCTGGATGTTTGTCCTCGTGCAATGTATGTTTGTAAACTGCCTCCACGATACAGGAGAAAATCCTAGTGTGGGGGTAACTTTTTTTAAAAAAAAAAAAACCATATTTCAACTTATTGCAATTGGGCTCAGAAATCCCCGTCTCCTTTGCGTGTGTGCTTATAATAATGTAACCTTTCTGTACAAAAAATATCAAGCCTCTGTTTTTGCTAAGCTCAGTGCTTTGAACCGTCCTAGGAACTTTCTTCCGGTTAAAGCAAAGATAACTGTGGTGCACTCTTTTATTTTGCCTATAATTGACTATGCTGATGTATGTTTTCCTGATATCAATGAGGTTTTCCTTGATAAGCTGGAGCGTCTCGTTAATATTTCTATATCCGTTTTATTTATTATCTTCGCAAGTTTGATCATGTATCTTCATTTCGCACTCAGCTTAAATGGCTTCCAATTCGTCAGCGAAGACACATTAGGATACTTAACACAGTTTTTTCTATTTTATTCGATAACCACTATCCAAATTATCTATAACACAAGTTTTAGTTTCTGCGGGACACTCATGACAGACAGCTTGGTTCATCGGAGAATCTTGCTCTCTCTATTCCCCTTCACCGTTCGAGTTTCATATCTTCATCGTTTGCTGTCCAAGCCGCCTATAGAATGACCTGCCTGATAAATTAAGAGAACCTACCTGCAAACAAACGTTTAAGAAGAACATTCGAGATCATTTTCTAAAACTGCTTTACAACTGCTAAGTTCCGTCATCATTAGTATATTAAGTATCTTTATATATCTTGTATTATATTATATTTTCTTATAATACATAAATTAATGTTTATACTTGTGTATATTGATATATGTATATATGTGTGTATGTATGTATAATATGTATATGTATATAAATATATCGTCGTCAATAAAGTTTAAATAAATAAATGAATAATACAAAAAAACTAACACTAGTAAATTTGGGTCTACATACTCAGGGTTTATAATCACAAAAGGATCCACATCTTGCAGTAAGACGTGAATTGCTGGCGCCACGGCACCTACTAGTAACATGAATGCCAACAATATTCTTCTACCGCAACGCCTCGTGGCTAAATGCAAGACCAATCCTACGATGAACAATTGCATTTCCGTTGCTAAATGCCTGTATTGAATAAAAAATATATATTTTAAGCAGCTATGACATCAATTATTTATGATTTTTCAATCTTAGCCAAATATTTTGAAATACTTCTGAATAATTAGGACCTACCCCAATCATCCCGTGGGTGTCGTGAGAGGCGACGGAGGGAAACCAATCCGGAGGTGTCTATTTAATAACGAAATAAAACTGCTGTTTCCTACCGCCTTACAAGCGTGGACACTGTGGAAAATTTCCCCCTTTGAGGTAATCTATGGGAGCAGCCCTATGTATAGCAGTGATTTTTAATAGGCTGTAACGGTATAATGGCAGTGTCAGAATATTTGCTACACAATATCATCTCATGAGTGTCGTAAGAGGCGGCAGAAGTAAACAAACAAAGAGATGGGCTGCAGCGTCTTCCTTATAACAACTTCCTCCTATGAGACAATCTATGGAGGAGGCCTATTTACAGCAGTGGACTTTTTTTTGAAAAAATACTAGTAATGCTGTTAAACATTACTAAAATTCCCTTTAACCACTTCTGGTAAGCTTAAAATGCTTGTGTTAGAAGTGGTTCACGACAGTAGTCGAATAGCGGATTCGAACCCACGACCTTTCGAGTTCGCGGTCCGCGCCCTGCCATTAAGCTACTGACGCTTTGATAGTTTGTGACGAACAGTGCCACAGTATCGCGTAGTGGTTACGTAAAAAAGCCATCACCCTATTTCGTTGCGTTGGTGACTCCATAGTGGAAATGTTCTCGGTAGATGGCGGTATAAGAATTTCTTTTTTTTATAGAGAGTCCACTGCTGAAAACAGGCCTCCCCCATAGATTGCCTCATAGGAGGCATATTTGCGATAGTTGCTACGCTTGGCAAGTGGGCTGCAGTTACACTTGGTCAGCATAATCCTGTCCTGCACCGATGGCTAGTCTCCAATAAGGCTGGCCGCCGTAACCGAAATTCGGTCTGGAGTACATTATTATTAATATTATAATAAGAATTCATGTTTTTGATTATTGAAGAAAGGAAACATAAAAAAAATTGTT